CCTAGCACCAGAGACACGAGCAGCATGGGCAACACGTAATGCTACAACTCCATTTTTTTGGTGACGGTGCAGGAACAGCGTGGGGGGGCCGAATCATTCTGTTAAGTGAAGTTGCAATGCGAGTGTATATCGCATGTTCTTTTATGTGAAATAATGCCTACCGTATCACCTGACTTTCTTTTACGAGTCAGTTTTTTTTAACACGGTAAAGATGCAGACACTAATACATGCTCATATACACTCATCCATATTAACGCAAGCACACACATCCTATCTATGTGAGCACCTTCGAAAGATTGAGCTGACAAGTTATCTTGAGATTGACGAACTCACCGCAGGCGCCTCCCCGGTTGCTATGGGGTACGATTTTAGGAGACCAAGGCCTTGTTCTCATATGGTCGGAGGATGTTTCCTTAAGATAGGGCCATCAGTCATGATGGTCTAGTGAGGCTGCGTCGAATGCAGTATACCCCTCTGACTATGTTTGGTATTCCGGATGCATCGGGATCTATGCAACACCATTGCAAAAGCTAGGAAGAAACATGATCCTTGGTTTGAGCTGAGAAAAAAAATGCAAGGGTAACTACGAGTGCAAGCCCATTGTTGAAGATTCCATCAACCGTGCGAGTCATTGCTTATAGATGCTCGGCCGTCATCGATGACTATGTTCACATCGGGGAAGATCTCATCCTTGAGTATGTGAGACTTCATAGCACTTGATTCTTGTATTTTTATCATGTTTATTTGCATTCTTAGTTATCGAAAAAGAATTTCGCTCCGCTTTATTTGGATTCTTAGTTCATGTGGACTGTATGTTGTGTTTGAATCTGAATGGTTCAGTTTAAACCATTAAATTAAATATGTATATGAACTGTCTGTTCTTTTTTTGAGAATGAATCGTCTGTTCTTGAATTCTTAAGTTTTGCATTAAAGTGCTATAAATTTGAATGGTTGGACGAAATGGAAAAATTATTTTTCTGGCCATTAAGTTTCACGGATCTGCTAGATAAAGAAAACTAGCTTTTCTAGAGGATAAGGGATGCTATAGATGCCCATACCCACCCTATCACATTTGTTACTCGTGATACATGTAACCCATTATATTATGATGTTACACCATCTTTTTCCTATTAAAAAAATCACATGGTCGTAGTTTTTGCATGGTAAACTAGTGCTATGCATGTGTAGAACGGTGGGATTAAATACTCTCGTTAAGGCAGGAGATTGGTTTCTTCAAAGTGTTGTGTGTAATTTTTTGTTTCTTCAAGGATCAGTGCTATAAGAGTTGACTGGCTGTCTTTTGCCATTTGGCCAAAAAAAACGTGTATAGGTTTCTAACTAAATTCACGGGCGAAGTTAGTTGGATCTTGTCATCATACCTACATAAGTATTTCCATGCGTAGGATAGTAGATTGACGAAGCATGTCATGCATGTCCAGATGAAGGGTTTCGTTGGTTCTACGGTATGCTCCCACTTTCAGCCCCAGTAATACCACGAGACACGAGCGTCTAATAAGCCAGGCTTTGGTTGCAGGCTTGCAACGGATGAGACACCATGATGAAAATGGCTTGCGCCTCGTTTTATATTAGATAAAACACGGAAAAGAATATGAGGCTACAGGGATACACCTTTAGTTGGGCCGTGCTTGTACACATCCCTTGCAACTTCAACAATTTACACATGTCCGCAATTTTCTATCTTTCCAGACAGGACCATGTGGTGGACAGCTACGTGAAGCAGGCGATGGGGGCGTCAAGTTTGGTGCGCCTCATTTTGCTGCAGCACAGCCATGCAATGCACTGAAGAGATCATGTGCTTGTCTCCCATGCATGCATGGTGGTGAGTTTGCCAAGTTGGCGAGTCTGTTGCATAGATGGTGCAATCGGATAGGAAACGGACGCGATCAGTGGATAAGATGTGGATGTGGTGCTGGATTCGCGGGGTCGACGTCGTCCATCCGGATGTGGACGTGCAGACGCGGCTCGTCACGACATGTCATCGTGAGATTGACGGCCCGTCGAACGCTCCCAGTGTGGTTTCCACGTTTGTGAAACGAGGGGAAAACGAAACCTGCCAACGTGCTTGTCGGTGACTGATGTGCCCCCGAGAGGCCAAGACTGCGCATAGTTTGTGCAGGATGATGATAATTCAAACCCAGCACACTAGCGCCTAGTTTCATTACAAATCCAAGTAGGTATTGCTTGGGACCCATAGAAGGAAACCAGCCCTGCACATTGGACAACAGCAATGAAAATTCAAGCAACAGTTTGACTATTTTCTCTCTCTTGAAATTGGAAGGTTTTGTCCTGAATTTGTGATCCAAATTCAGTACTCCGTCTGGTCAGGTTTTTTATAATGCCGGGCAAGTATTTTAAGGTTTTCGATTTACTAGCGAAACACATGTCATATGCCATAGAAAAATATCTTCACATTTGTTACCGAATGAAATTTCTACACGGAATTTTTTTGAAGAATATTACACATGTTAGTAAATTAAAGACCTAAGAATCCATGCCGAAACTCGATCAAAAGGAAGTACAGAAGGTCGTCCTTCATGGTTGCCAAGTTCTGGATCATTTTTTTTAAATGAGGCAAAAGATTTATCATTTTTATTGATTAAGAAGAAGAGAGAATTGCCCGGTTAATTCGCGGAAAACCGGGCTAAAACTGATACAACTCAACCCACATGACATGGGCACCATCGGCCAACCTGGCCACCGACATGGGACACAAAGCTACAAAGAAGAAAGGCATTCGCCGAGGAGTCGCAAGCGTCATTGTCATCACCGATTGCCTCGAAGCCAACCTGCAAACAGCTGTATAGAAGCCACGACGGCACAATGCCACCGGATGGCCACACGCGCAAGCAACTGACAGCTCCGACTTTGACGATGAGCCTCACCAGGGAAATATGCAAGACTTGCGCCGACAGTGCCCACAGAAGAGCACCTCGGACACGCCGGGAAGAACCGACTACCAAAGTCCACGCCGCGACCCGAGCTCCTCTCGACACCATCATCGTTGCCAAACAGAAACCAGCGCCCCGCCTCAGCAAACCACGCGGCGAAGATGCCGCCATCCACGGCGAAGATGCCGCAATCCACCAGTCTCCCAGACAAACAGAAGGACACGCGTCAGACCACCCTGATGAGAGTTCCAGCATTACACATCGATCGAAGCAAAGCGGAGGATCAACCATGAGTCTCTGAACTGGTACTATCCTTGTGGCGGTTAAGTCCCGAGAGCTACCAGGTGCTATCTATTTCTTATTATTTCGCATTGCAAATTAATTCGTCAAAGACTTTCTTTTTGCTTCCAGCTTGCACTATTTTGCGTACACATATTAATCGACTGACGGTCACCATGAGGTACAACCTTCCACGGCTGGATCGTAATACAAGGTTTCTCCACAAGCCAATACACGACCGTTGCTAGCACAAGCCGATTATGACGATACACTGGATGGATTCGGAAAAGAGAGATGGCTGGACTAGTGAGAAGAAGAGAAAAGACCGTAAGTCTTCGTCACAAATTCAAATCCATTTGCAAAATAATATTTTGCACAAAGTCTTGACCGAGAAAGCAACTGTTGCCCTATGATTGAAGCTGAAAGATATATGCATGACAAAAGGTTTTACTATCAAGATGCATCCGAATCAAAAACTATTCCTGCACAATTATCCCTTCAATTATCCTAAGGGAGGTAATGTTTTAAATCACATGATTTAAAGAAATTGTATCTATCTAGTAGCAAGGATGATAACTACGAAGAAGATATGGGAAAATACAAGGGAGCTCCTGGGTGCTCCACACCCCTATACGATATTAAACGTAAAAAACACCAAAAAATTCTAAAAATCCAAAATTTGGGGATATCAAACTTGGGTTCTCAATCTACTCATGTATGAAGTTTCGTGAAAAAATACAAGAAAATGTATCTGTAGAGAAGGAAATACCGTCTGGAAATAAATCCATCCAAACAGTTTTATTCTATACATAGAATTTTTTTGTCTTCTCTGCCACGAATAAGTTTCCTAGTATTTTTTTTTCACAAAATTTCACACGGGGACTCAGGTTAGATATCCCAAAATCCCTTTTTTTTAAATCTCTCGGTTTTTTTTGAATTTAATATTTGTATAGGGGTGTGGAGCACCCGGGTGCTACAAATCCGCTTCCGAAGATATGGGCTTAATAATGTTCACTGTCAAGTTCTTACACCAATTTTAGAGATGCAATCGTATACGACCGTGATACTCTCACCCTTAATGAGGTTTATGAAGCTTTGCATTACAAAGAGAAAATGAAACTAATGGTGTTGGTGGTGGTTCAAGTTCATCCCAAGCCAACAGATTATCTGTTCATGGCAAGACACATGAGAAGAGCACAAATAATGAAAACAGAGGCAAAAGTTCAAACGGCTGCAGGGGGGTATGTATAAACCGGTATATATAAGAGCTCATGAAAGATGAGTAAACGAGAACGAGTTGTATTAGAGGTGGATAGCATCGTAAAGCCCAACACAGTACTGGAATTTGGATCACACAGTTTTCTGTCTGTTTTAAGTTGCAGGTATAAACTTAACATAATGGATCAGACATTAACACGTATGTCTAGGGAAATAATGTAAGAACCCATTTAATTCTATGTTATTTAAGTCCACATACGAGTTTGCATCTGGGGGTAAATACACTTATCAACTGCTAACACAGTGGGACTATGTTTGCATCCTACACAAAGAGGACTGGGCTGCGCTCGCTATGCACAAAGTAGTAGTACAAAAGACCAGATTACTAATCAAATCACACCATTACCTATATGTGATATACAAGCAAATCTAGTGTTAGTGTCGAGACCAGGTAGCAATATATCATCATTCAATCATCACGCTACTGCGATCCCCCAGCCCGCCTTTGAACCGCTAGCGAAAACCGTAAGCAACATCAGCGATGCAACCGCACAGATCGTGCAGAAAATAACACCATCAAGGCATTCATGCAAACTACTGCTCCTCTGCAGAAAAGTTGGGTTCTGCTGGCTTCTGCAACAGCCTTGCGGGCACCCTTTCCTGCAGCCGGGCCTTCCGGGTGGCATTTCTCCTCAAGATCCGCATCATGTTGCGAGCAAAACGTGAAGCGTATATTGCCGCACCGAAGCTGAGCGGAGTGGAACCGTCATTCACAATCGCGAGTTGCAGCCTTTCCTCCTTCTCGCGCAGAGCATCTTCCATCTTCTTTCTGCAGCGCCTGTGCCAGGCCGCTTGTATGAAACAAGCGGCCCAAGTTCTCCACTGCTGCGAATAGAACCTGAAGGTGTGCCGGAGCTGTTTGCTGTGTAGCCGTCGAAACTGTGTGGCCACAAACTTCAGGTCTTCAGCCATCAAAGCAAAAGCTTCGACTTCAGACATTGACTTCACTGTCCTGGTTGAGATGGGGAGACTGGTTGCTGAGTTGGGATCAAGAGCCCAGGTAAGAAGCTCCTCACCACAGAAATCTCCGCTTTTCAGAACATCAGAGTTGAAGAAGCCAGTTTTCCCACCGTTTGTCGTCATGCTCATGAGGTTTCCTCTCGTGATAAAGAACATTTCATTTACTGGATCCCCCTCACGAACGATGCAGCCACCTTCTGTGTACAAAACAGGCTTTAGGCAGTCGCACAAGGCATTCAAGAGCTGATCATCCATTTTTTCAAACATTGGAACCTGAAAATGAAAAAGGACGCATTCAGGGTAACCAAAAGAGCAAGATCTTGATCAATACATCAGATCACCATCAAAAAGTTGCTACCTTAAAGTCCAGGGTCTCCTTAAAAACTTAAAAACGTGTGCAGAGAGTGTCTCCCAAAGAAACAGCATGCTAGTTGCTAGAGTGCTAGTAAACTTTACAGGGTCATGTAAACCCATGATACTGATCACACATGAATAAATGGGCAATACTTCAGATGCATAGATTAGAAACAAAGGCTGGATAATAGCACTGTATGACCGTATCCAATTGGATACCTTTCTAAAAAGATGCAAACCTAATAAGAACCAATACAAATCATTCATAAGTCAAAACTTGGATCATTCGGTGTAAAAATAGCTCAACCGTTTATTTGACGAGCATATTTTCCAAAACTGGCTCATCCTGGGATTAACAATTAACAGTTACAGCTCAAGTGATACACTTGTTTGGAAAGAGTAAAGTGCAACAGGAAGAAATATGGATTATTCATGACTTTATAACTGGGTGTATATAGTTCCATTGTTTGTTTAATTAACTAATATTTTTGAAAACTTCCTTAAAATTGGGACTAGCATTAGTATTTATTGCCAGTGCAGCAAGTTACTCTGCAATCAGAAACTTGTACTCCCTCCGTCCGGAAATACTTGTCGGAGGAATGGATGTATCTAGTCATATTTTAGTTTTAGATGCATCCAGTTTTATCCATTTGTGCGACAAGTATTTCTGGACGGAGGGAGTATATTGTAAGAACATACCCTCTTGAGAAGTGATAAACAAAGATGTCGTTTTATAGCCCTTCTAAGATCCTTGGGGAGGTTCATCAGGAGGTGCTCTTCATCAACCCCGCTTGTCTCTTGCCATCTATATTGTTCATAACGCCGTATTCGCTCCTTGAGGTTATCAGGAAGAAGCCGATATGACATCCATTGATCTGTGTCGCGGCTTTTCACTCTCGTTTCTTCTATTCTCAGAGTAGCTGACTGCAAATAGGTCTGTAAAAGTAGCAAAGGGGACAAACGAAAATAGTAAGCACTTAGAGCATGAATTAGCTACCCAAACAGCACAGCAGTCACTTGTACGCAAATAACGACATAATTGATATTTCAATATCAGAGAGAAACTGAAACAACCTTTGTATTACTTATTACACAACTTGAAAAATTAACCTATTCGTGTGTGTGTGTGTGTGTGTGTGTGTGTGTGTGTGTGTGTGTGTTAGAAATAAGAAATTAACCTCTTGCTATGCTTATTTGGAAAAATCAAACATTTTTGTGCCAAGACTATATTGGTTTATCGCACTAGTCATAATGGTATAGCATGTGGCATAGTTCCACGACTTTATCTGTATGATGATAGTATTCACAAGTCACCGCCAAGATGAGTCCATCTTTCTCAAGATTAGTTGGACAGTTTTTTGGCTTTATGTAATTCAATAACAAATATTTCTTCTGTCATGGAACACATTTAAGCGACAGTCTAGCACTCCAGATCTCCTATTGATCATGGAGGAAACAGAATCATAAAACATTAGCATGTTTCTGTTTCCAATGCAAGTTTTATTGATGCAATAACTTTCAAGGATGATATTTATTATTTTTATTTAAAAGATATCTACAATTCTGAACTAAAATAGAGAAAATGAATAAGAATATTTATAGCTATCAGTGACACATATTATTACCTGCATATTACCGATCAGAAGTGAAAACAGAACTAAGCCGGATATTGAGACAAAAACTGCAAACAAATTCTCCCAAGCATAAGTGCTTGTTTTGAGGTTTTGGCCAAGCGAACTGCATTAAATAGACCAAGAGAGATATAAGTGTTATACAATTTAAATATATTTATGTAGTGCAGTTTCGTCTTTAGACAAACCTGAGATTTTGCAGACCCCACCAGACACAGTAAAATAATTTTGCGAAGAAATTTGTTGATTGCGAAACATTATTTATAGCTGGCAGATAGATTCCAAAGAGTGGGTCTGGAAGATTGTCTGTGGTTATACTTGGATTGCAAACACTCCGTAAGAAAACATTTTCAGCATTCGTATTACCATTCCCACAGTATAGATATGCAGGGTTACAGTCAGGATTTAGACTACATTTCTGTTTCCAGCAGGCATCTTTGCGTTGAATAGAAAGCAAGTACCAAACTGCTCCAAGGACCTGCAGCAATTAAAGATTACCGGTAAACATTTAGCCATTGAAGCTTAGTTACATTTCACATTTGCACTTCTGAAAAGTAGTCCATTATGCTGAATATAGAACTAGATGACGACATACAAATCAACCTAAAATGCTACATGACACCTTCACTTAATAACAGGTGTCACTTCAGACATTGACATGACCTAGAATATACAAACTTGAGTAATTGACCATTGAAAATAACAATAATAATAAGTTAACAAAAATTATAAGATAATATTATTTTATATAAGACTTGTATAATAAACCAATACTATTAGAAAATATTTGAATAGACTGCAAAAAGTGGAAACCAGTGCAAAAATACCCCTTAGCAACGCTATTAGGAAATTGGTGCATATGTGCTAGAATATATCTCGACAGGGTGCAGAGCTTATCAAGGGCATGTTTGGTACAACGGATTTTCAGCAATTTTGCAGAAAATAGTTCATTTCCCATCGGAATTGGGTAACACTTGCATCTTCCAAGTGTGCCCAAAATATTTTACAATTCTTACGAGATTATTCCTAGGGGGTGGATGCTCTTGCAGTCTTGCATAAACATTTGCAGCATTATTTACAACCAGTCTCTAGGTAAAAAATCCTTACATATTTTGAGCATTATAATGACGTATTTTACACTGAATCATAATAACAGACTACCATATAGTTAGCCTCACGCCCTTCATTAGTAGCATCAGCAAGCTCGTTTACACGCTGCGCGAACCTTATTTGTAAGTTGGGAATAGACAACTGCAAACTCTTTACATGGACACATCAGCAGTGTTGCCCCCTGTGCAGTCTAGAGCAGTAGATGGCAACACGAGCGTGCCATGCTTATTTGTACAGAAGGTATGGTCTAGAATCCTCAACTAGTTGAAGTGTGACGCCATGTGCCCCACAAAACTTCGATAATCTAGTGGATTGGTGGCAAGCAGCGGTCAATGGATTCCAACCTTACTTTAGGGGCTACCTCTGGAAAAAGAGAAATGGAGCAACCATCCACTTAGCCCCCAGCATTTCCATCTAAGATTGGCAAAGACTGAACAATGAGAGAGTACCCTCAGATACAGCAAAATCATGCTAAAAGGGTCAGTTTTTGCACTCCGTAGAGTGATAGATCTGGAGAAATATATATTAGATGCAGTAGGTTTTTTCACGTAAAGGATACTTTTAACCGAAAGAAGTACAGGATACACCTTGCTTTGGTGATTAGTTGTTCGAAACAACATGCAGCAAATAAACAAGACAATTTTATGACTTATATACAGTATAAACTGGTACTCCCTCCGATCCAAAACAACACTTACTTTGGATCGGAGGGAGTACTAAAAAGCTCAAAATTAGGAGCATGTACAAACATGAGAATTACCATCAGGGTCAATGAAGGAAAAGAACTACTCCCTCCGTAAACTAATATAAGAGTGTTTAGATCACTAAAGTAGTGATCTAGTTTACAGAGGGAGTATCTTTTAGTCATTTATATCCTATCCCTCACGGAAAATTTACTACTCATTATGTTAACTGTCCAATACTCCTGCGCCAAGTAGAATTTTCACACAGATAGGAAACCACCGTGGATGTTATGCACAATTATAAAAAAAGGAAAAAAGAGAAGCAATTGAGCTGTACAACTGACATACTGTGTCGCCCCCATCGACAAAGTTAATGGAAAATCACATGCCAAACTTAGGCACATACTTTTTAGTCCACATAATTTCTTACCGTACATGAAACTGCTCGTGCTATCACTATCATATTGGCAAAACGAACAGCTGACTTACGTAGTTACAGTTTTCACAATACAGAAATTATGAACTAAGCACTTACATGACTAGCAAGCATGTAAATTATTAGATTGAAGGCAGCACCAGCCCATGCTGTCTCTGTAATTATCCCAGCAGATCTAGTGATTTGAAGATATAATGGCCTTATTCGGATTAGCCGAGGTACATATTGGCATATAACTATAATCATCAAGATGTTTTTCGCTTTCATGAACTTTGAGCCCTGAAGAGGAGGCAGAACGACCAAAATGATCACCTGGTAACAGAAGTTGATCAAGGTTACATGCTTGACTTCAGGACATAATAGTAAAAAGGTGTATATTTACTGCACTATGGGAACTGCAAATTACAGAAAAATCACCAGATAGAATGATAGCATCGTCATAATCTATATTCATCACAACCAACACTCCAATATGTGAACTGGTACAGCATAAGTATAACTCTTGAAACAGGCAAAAAAAAAGTATTTTTACACAGTATAACTCTTGAAACAGGCAAAAAAAAAGTATTTTTACATAGCTCTCATGCACACACTACCAGGCACACATCCACATGAATAAAATCCCATATAAAATAGTGTATGATCTTAAATGTAAAGAAGCATTTGCTATGATGTGATCAAATGCTTCATGCTAAGCCTAACCAAGTAGATAGCATAGTACCTGAGGGAGGGGTAGAACAGCACAGACATCAATCAGAAAATATGTTGACAGATACCGCTTTGCTATAGCATATCTATCCTCAACCAATACACCCCTACCAAAATTTGTAGAGGAAGACGTGATAAAGCCTGTCCGAAACTGGAATATGATATGGAGTACATAAAATATATCTGTGAAAGAGCGCAGGACACTTGCAATGATTTTCATCTTCCTATCCAAATACCAGCAAGGATTTTTATCACTGATAACCGGGATATAGAGGAACAATGGGTCCACAGAGACTGCAAAAATACATGATAACACAAATATCTTGTTCCATCTTTGCAGAAATGGTCCTTGTGGGTGAAAAACATTTTGCGTGGACTTCCAGTCTTCCAGCATTGATCTCTTCAAGGTTTTAAAATGGAATAAGTTTCCAAGGAATGCAAATAATCCACCAGTTCTTTCTTTAAGTGATCTAAATACACTATGTCTGCGTGGTGAAACTGTGTTCTCTGAGTTAACAGATTGCTCTGATCTCCAGTCCTGAAATCTGCACATATCATCAAGCCAGACAAAACACTCAGAACAGTCATAACATAAAGTTTTTCAGTGATTCATCCTTTACATAAAGCCAGACAAACTTGTGTCGGTTCTGTTTGAAAGAGAGAGAAAATGTGTAGCTTTAACTGCAGTTTTAGAGGCAGAGAATTCCGCTAACCCATTTTGAGGTAAAGGGACTAATCAAACCATTGTATGATGAAAGTAGAGGCACCAACGTTCCATGTACTTTTTTTTCTCGAGTGTGCATATCATATATTAGAGAAGAAGGGCAAAAGAATGCCTCCACCGGAACGTTCCATGTACTCTTGTTTACTTAAGGAACTACCACACTATTATTCACATGTGTAATGTGTTGCGTTAATTCCTCAAAAACCATGTGTTGTGTTGCTAACTTGCTATAACAAAGAGCTGGAGGATGTAAGTTTGACAAACCATTTCTGTGGAAACTTCTCAAGCAGCAGGGGGAGGGGGGAGTGTAAGAAATTGACCTAACATATCTGTCCTCTCTTTCCATCATTATCTCCACCAAGCAAACAGTTAGCAGCCAAGAGTGCTAGATCAATCCTTCAAGGTGTGGAATTTGCATTCATTGAGTTCCCTGCTGATTATCAAGTATAAGTAACAGCAACAAACAATAACTTTCTACACAACAAGACAACAATCCCTTAGTACACCTGACAGGAATGTTCAGCGAGGTAGCTTAAATATTGTCAACCAGGTTATCAAATAAAATGATAAATGGTGATTCAGAGGATTTGACGGGTAGAAACAAATCCATGACGGGTGAAATATAGGTGACCATGATCCCTTGGTATACTTTATAAGGGATAAGAGTCAAACTAATAGGTGGTTAAATTTTGTCAGCCAAATAAAGGTAACAAGACAGCAAGAGTAAATACTGGACAGATGTATTTTTTAGATACAAAGATTTTTGTACACCGCTCCTTCTAGATTGTCCTCCAATTGGACCTTGGTGAACAAATACTACTAAAGTGACAGTAAGTATTGAACCATAGTCGGCATGAATATGATTTATGGTGCGCTCGATCCTCGCCCGACTTGCTAGAAATTAACTTGATCGTTTGATCATAGCCAAGAAAAAGAAGCATGTTCTATTATTTAGTATCTCAGAGTATCCCAGCCGTATTAAATTGGAAGAACCATGATCTGCATGGGAGTTAGACACAATGGCGCAGGCTTCACTCGTGCAGCCTTGCGGGAGAGTCTATTCGGCTCTCCTCCTGCAGCAAGGCTTTAAAGTGCTACCAAATGGTTTCCTGTGCCTAGCACGGTTAGGATTCTCCTAGCCAGCTAGCTTCAGATCAAAGTACCCTTAGGCTTCCTCGAGCAGAAACAAGATCATCACGACTCACGAGTTAAATATATGTGTCCTTACATTCTCCTGATAAACTTTACAAGGGTAAACGTGATAACACTAGGTGGTTAAATTTTGCCAGCCTGATAAAGGTAACTTAGGCAGCGAGTATAAATACCATACAAATAGATTCAAAGGTTTTCCAACATAGCTTGAGTTCCATGTGCATCCAATTCGGCCACAAAAAAAAAGACACAATGCATATAAGAACAAAATAATCGCCGTGTCCGTAGAGTCACCCTATAGAATGATTAGAATGTTCCTTTGAAAACCCAATTGCTGCTGGGGCAGACAAAAGTATAGCAGAGTAACGTTAAAATGCCAAATTAAGCCCCGCTGAAATTAACCCTCTGCACACCCACGGTTCCGCCTGACACTTGGCAACCACAAACCCAAACCCGCAACCTCTACAGCCACAGCAACAGATCCTAACTTCGATGCTCAAACTGGATAAAAACTAAATTAACGACAGACAGAAAGCAGCAAGCACTAGAGAGACTAAAGTACGATCATGTTTTTCCCGCAGCAGTGCGCAGAAGCCACCAGCTCGCCGCAAAATCACACGCCCAGAGCTAAGCGCGCACAGGATCAACCCGCAGAATCTTAAGACAGAGCGGCGAGGGCTGCAACAGGTCCGAGCAGGGGAGGCGGGAGCTCACCTAGGGTTTGAAGAGGGCTTGCTCTCCTTGCGCCGTGTTAGGCGGGCTGGCGGGTGGACGGAGGAGGGGAATGAGACGGGTGGTGGGATGGAATGGTAGGGGGGACGGGGGCTTCGCGGTCATGAGGCATGGTGGTAGTTGCCGCGGAATGGTGGTCGTCGTGGACTGGAGGACGAAGGGAGCAAAGGGGGAAAGAAAGAAAAGTGGGTGGCTGTGGGGACCCTCCCGTGGTGGACTCCACAATGACCCTGCCTAGTCTACGCCGTCGAGCAGGCCGGCCCAGTTAATAAAATAGTTCTGCGAGATTTGGACGTCATTTTTGGGCAGCGCTATGTCTCGCTTATCGCGGCGACTATATCTCGCCTTGAGCGAGATGAAAGCTCCTCTCGCTGATTTTTTTTACTTTTTTCGCTTTTACTAGTCATGAGGGAGCAGTTGAACTCGGGAGCAGAGTAGGACTTTCATAGCCGCTAACCAGTACGCCATAGGTAGATTTGTGTTAGATATTTAGGGCATGACATAATTAACCTAAAATAGCCAGTTTTCTCCACTGAATTTTTTGTTTTTTGTTTTGTTTTTGTTTTGACATCGGGTTTCTTTGTTTTTTTCTCTTTTTTTTCTCTTTTCTTCCTGGTTTTTATTTTTTTTCTCTATTTCCATTGTTTTTCAGTTTTTGTTTTGTTTTTATCTGGATGTGTAGACCGGAGGCATAGGGGGGAGATGTGGAGGGAGTGTGGGGTAAAGCAACAGATCGCACGGATACCCATTGTGCCTCCATCGGGACGCTGGTCGTGGATCCACGAAGCCCGGGATGGAGCGTTCGTGGACGCTACGGATCTGCCATCATGGTTGTTGCGGATCTGTCATTGGTGTTGCGGGCGAGGATCAGGGCACACAGGAGGGCTAGAATAATTGGCGACCACAACATCTGCTCGGCAGAACATTTCATCTAGGTCGTTGTTTTGGGTGGTAGACCATTGGCGTAATAAAGGCAACAGAATGTGTTTAAGTGGATTTGATCGGAGGGTCTTGGTTATTCGTGTACATTTTGCTGTTTGAATTTAGGGAAATTTATGTTTGCTCTTTTAATAGTAGTGGAGATATACACTCATTACACTTGTCGGTTCGTTTGTTTATCTGTTTACCGTTTCTTCTTCTTTTATTTGTTTCGCTAAAACTCAAAAATGTCAAAATGATTTTCACATTCTTATTGCTTGCTTCTTTTGATCTTTTTAGCTTTTCCATCTGCTTTTTATTAGTTCTTGTTATTCTTTTTACCCTTTTTAGTTTCGAGAAATGAAGATGCAAAGAAATATTTTATCATTTTGCTTTGTTCTTCTTTGGTTTTTCATTTGACTTTTTAGAAAACAACAACAAAATTCTCTTTGTTCCTTTTGTTTCTTCTCTGGATGTTTGTGTGGTTGCCTATTTGTTAAGCTTTGAAAATCTCAAAAAGTTTTCCCTTTGCGTCTGCTTTTGTATTTCTTATCGCCTCTTTAAGAAAATCCAGAAAAATAAATCATGTTGTTTGTTCTTTTCGTTCTAAGGTTGTTTTTGCTTTGGTTTTATTTGGATCTTCTTTCACTTTTCTTCGTTGCTTTTACTGCTTCTCTTTTTTCTTCTTTGTATTTAAGTTGCATGGCAAACATATTTTCGTTTGCATCTTATTGATTGAGAAAAACTAGGGGGGAGGGGTTCTGAAAAGATATTACCATAAAGCTAGATGACTTTTTTTTGGCAAGAATCGATGGTACAAACAAAAGATGGTCCAGTCCGCACACTTCAAATCCAATGGTAAATGAACGAGTTTCCAAATTTTCACTGAGTATAGTTTCTATTGGATACTTTCTCATTCTTGGATAGTGTTTCATTGTCTTTCATGTAGGACGTTAATCGCCGCGAACATTCATTGCCACTGGCACACATGGCATTTGCGAACACGTGGGGTGGCATTTTAGTGTTTTGGGTGGTGGCAGTTTTCAGAAAAGCATGGCAATTCTTTATTTATTTTTTGGTGCAATTCTCGTTAATAACCACCCTCTTTTGGATGTGGGTCATGTGGCTCTGGGGGCGTTTGCTTGGATCTCACCGCAGCGACCGTTCATGGTTCATGTATTCCATGGTGTTATCACGTTCCCATTATTATCCCTTCTTTTGGAATCATTTAAGGCAGTTTTGCGTCTAGTGCAAGGTCAAAGGGTAAAGTAGATGGGGCGTGGACTTAGGAAAATTTATGCTTGCTCTTTTAACGGACATATACACTCATTGCACTTGTCGGTTTGTTAGACCTTTGGTTATATATTTACCGTTTGTTCTTCTTTTGTTTGTTTCGCTAAACTTAAAAAAACTCAAAAATATTTTTGCATTCTTATTGCTTGCTTCTTTTAATTTGTATTTTCTTTTCCATTTGCTTTCTATTAGTTCTTATTATTCTTTTTGCCCTTTTTAGTTTTGAGAAATGAACATGCCAAAAATATTTTATCATTTTTGCTTTGTTCTTCTTTGGTTTTTCATTTGGCTTTAGGAAATAACAACAAAAATTATCTTTGTTCTTTTTGTTTCTTCTCTGGATGTTTATGTGGTTACCTGTTAGTTCAGCTTTGAAAATCTTAAAAATATTTCCCTTTGCTTCTCCTTTTGCATTGTTATCGCCTCTTTAAGAAAATCCAAAAAGATTTATTGTTGTTTGTTCTTTTCATTCTAGGGTTGTTTTTGCTTTGGTTTCTTTTGGATCTTCTTTGGCTTTTCTTCGTTGCTTTTACTGCTTCGTTTTTCTTCTTCTTTGTACTTGTATTTAAGTTGCATGGTAAAAATATTTTTCGTCTACGTCTTATTGATTGAGAAAAACTAGGAGGGGAGGGGGGGGGGTTCTGAAAAGATATTACTACGAAGATAGATGATTCTATCGGTGGTACAAACGAAAGATGGTCTAGTCCGCACACTCAAACCCAATGGTAAATGAA